TTATCTATATATATTTGTGGCAGACTGTACTGTTTACTTTCACCCTTCAGTATCAGTGTATATGTTTTTACAGCAAGACTACTCTACTTTTGCCTTTCTGAGGCTAAGATGTGGGTCAGTAGATAAATGGGTCAGGTCACAGGGGAGAATCAATATTGGCTGTGAGATATAGAGACCAGTAGCTTAAACATTTGGTGGTGATGGTGTTCATGAATCACAAGAAAACTACATTAAGATGACATGACAGCCAGTATGCTGTTTGCATGAAGGAATAGCCATTTAGAAGTACTTCATGTTTAAATACAGCAGTGATTGGATAGTTATGTTGTACTTCTTCTTTTGTCAATTGGAAGGAGGAATTTATTACATTTTAAGGGGTTCTTTAAGGTCCCCCTTGTTCCACAAGACTACTCAACAGGTATCATTTATAGAATGGCCATGAAATAGGATGTATATGTCTGCTTCGTATAAGTCAGTTAGAAACAAAAATGTTCCACAAGACTACTCAACAGGTATCATTTATAGAATGGCCATGAAATAGGATGTATATGTCTGCTTCGTACAAGTCAGTTAGAAACAAAAAAGTTAATGAAAGGTAGTTTACATTCGATACAGAAACATATTCAACAGTGATTTGTATCGGTCATGTTGGCTCAAGCGATGACATTTCTTTCTTGTATCTGGGAAGTGCCCTGTTAATGTCTTGGCTGGAACGCCAAGTATCCTAACTGAAATTTCTTGTAGTTTTTCCTCAGTTCTTAAAGAAAAATTCTGAGATAAAATATGCTGTGACTGTATCCTTCTCAGTCCATTCAAATTCATTGAACATTATCATTATCTCATATTGTATAATGCCAAATAAATTTTGTAGAAGACACAGTCATTTTTAAATAAACTGTGATCAACACTCTGATGTTGGTGTAAGTGGATCAAAATATGCAGTGTTTTGGCAGTGTAATGTAATGTATGCATATGTTCGTAGTTTTATTATCTGTTCTCGTGAATTTGTGTGCATTTAAGTGCTGCATGACAGAGAGTTTTTCATACCCAAGTGAAAGTGAAGATATAGAGAAGTTGGAACTTGATTGTGTGTGGTTAAGAAGATTCTGTGATAGAAAGTAGAGAAACGACTGATCGTGTAGTGTAGTCTTTGTACTGTCTAGAGAAGGCATAGTCATTTCATGCTTGATAGATTAAATGGAATTTTAGTGTTTTATGTTACATTTTCTGTTATGGATTACATTTGTTGAAAATACTTTAAAGCTTTCAATACATATTTCATGACAAATACCGCTTCTAAATAATCTTAATTAAAAAATGTGTCATAAACATTCCAGTTTTCAGTGATTATAATTTACCAGTCTAGGATGTATTTCTCTGAGGTCATGTTGTATAAGATTTGTTTCCTCATATCAGTATTTCATTTGAAGAACCTGATGAAATTAATAAATTTTCCCTACCATCGATTCTGATAGTACTTGAGTATTTCCATACCTGGATGTAGCTGTTGTAAATATTTTAATTCATCATAAATGAGATATTTTTAACCACAGTTACTGATTTTGTCCATTGCTAAGATTATCAGGTTTTCTGTATATTGTTCCCATGATCGGTGTTTCATTCCATTGTTCTTTTCTTTGTTTGTAGTTTATTTAATGATATTGTCAGTTAACTAGATCGTATAGTGTTGAATGATTGGATGGCATTGAATAATCAACTGGAAAGAATGTGGAAGTAAGCAAAAGTGGCCTAATTTAAAGTACTATTCAAGCATTTGCCTGGAGGAACTAAGAGAATCCTCAAAAAACCTTATCAGGGTGGTCAGTGTCCTGGCCAATATTTAGCATGGGCATCTCCTGATTAAAAGGGAAAATTTTGTTAATTTAGCCAGTTTGCTTGGTTTCATTGTCATAATGTCTTTTTTGGGCATATAAATATCTAGAATTAAAGGGTCCTTGATACATGATCTAGAGAATAGTGTTATTGTTAAATCTTGAAAGAAGACTTAACAATATTTGTTTTTGAAAACAGAAGTTCAATAATTAACATGGCTGAAGATTTAACAAACAGATATGAATAGATCAGGCATGGGTTTTATGACAGTTCATAACAGGTGTGAACCAATTCCTGATAGCGGTTCATATCCGACAGTACTGTGAATTGCTGCAGTCTTTGGATTATTATAACTTTACATGGAATTAGAATGCTGTAAGCTGATATTGACTGATGTCTTGGCTCCTCTGGAGAGCAGTGTGATAGTGCAACATTATGGCTGCTGAGGAAAGTACAGAACTGATGGATTTTTACAATGCTGAGGAAGGTGAAAATGTGACAGTTGAAACAAAGAGTTATATCTTTTTTGTTTTTATTTAACAACACAGCCAGTATCAGAAATATAGGACATTGATGACAGGACAATTACTGAATGTGGAGCAGCCAGTGGAGTGAGTACTGGCAAGGGAAGCCAAAATACTCAGAGTAAAATGCCCCAGTGCCACTTTGTCTGCCACAAATTCTATATGACCTGAACTAGGTTCAAACATGGGATACTGCAGAGGGAAGCAAACTGCTCTGGTGCCTAGACTAACTCTATCTGTTGAGAAAGATGTGTGATCTAGTTAAATGATCAGATTTACTAGACAACAAAAGAATGAATATGTCAGTGGAGAAGGGACCTAGGAAAATAGTATCCACAGAAAGTAAACCTGTAGTTAGTTAGTTATTGGAGAGGGTGGGTTTCCCCATGCACTTAGACCTGTATTGGTCCATTGTGCTTCCCTCTATGATTTCTACCAGTCTTTATATCCTACTGGTACTGGTGCTTACCATCAGTCCCGCCCAGCCAGTGAGACCGGCTCTACTAGTTGAGAGGTATCTATAATGCTTCCCCCATCTACCAGAGGTATTAGAGACTGCTGTTGGGCGGGAAACGTCCTCAATTTGGCTCAGTGACCTCCTTTGGAGATATGAGGTTCTTTTACATGCCGTAAAGCTACGATATGGGACCCACGGCTTAAAGTCCCTCCCAGAGGACTTGTTCCCTGAATTTTTCCGCCCTTAAAAATTCGACAACCTCCGCCAGGTATTTGAANCTTCAGTACATTTGTACAGTTTCAAGGTTTCATGTCTTATCTGAGCAAAGCTGACTTCATAAAAGGAACATTTTGTTGTCAATGGCTATTGGATGGTTTGTTTGCAAGATTATAAGATTTGTCAACAATTAGAAACTAACATGTGACTGTTACTACCAACAGTGAAAGTGAACATGTTCTGTCTCTTTTTCTCTCTTTCTCTCTATGAATTTTCTCCTTGGCTGTCCTACTTTTAGCATGGCTGAATACCAGAGGTGTAACCTCATTACATAGTGCGATGTGATGAATTTGTTATGCAGGTATAAGTGACATAATGGAGTAAGATAATGGTTTTTATTAATGCAGACAGATCTGGTGAGATCATGACATACTTAACAACATTATTACAAATTTCAAGTACAGAGACATATATTCATTATGAACCTTTGTTGTGATGTTGTTAGATGTGTAATGCCATTGATATTAAATGCTTAATAACATGGTGGTGTAATCATAGCATTGCTGTGGTGAGTAATGAGTATGTTGTAATTGACTGAAGTAAGGAAGTCAAATGTAGAATTATAATTCACATTTTGCACCAGTTGTAGAAAGTGATGAAATTTTCTTAGGTATGTGTTCGTTCACAGTGCAGTATTCCAGTACTTATCACTGTTTCTTTGTTCCATAACAATGTTCTTTCAGCCCTTGGGCCATCCTTAGACTGCCCAGTAATTATTTACATTATGTGTGCCAGACTGCTACTTTTATGTATTGCTTAAAATTGCAAATTCTAGACTCAAAATAATATTATTTAATCAGAGTTTAAAATATTTTACATGCTATATGAAATTTGAGGTTCTTATGGCAATGAATGTTAAAATCATTATCTTATTGGATGTGAGGCTGTGTACCATATTGTGGCATATAGACCTGTTGCTGGGAGGTGACTCTGTGAACATCGGCAGTTGCTAGGTAATGCCAAAATACAACAATGGAGGAGGTATCACGATATGTGACATGTACAGCAGTTGTTGTGGAGTGCACACAGCTTATGCATGTATGGTGACGTCACACAACAATAGAGGGGCTGAGTTTTCTGTGCTGTGTGGCCCCTGCCATGACTTCATAAGAGGGACAGTTTGAAGATGGGTGTTTTCCATGGAGTCCATGCTGAGGAATTATAAGAGAGTCGAATTACAAAGCTGGAGCTGTAGGAGTGCAGAAGAGTACAGAAGAGTACAAGTTGTTGGCAGAAGATGGCCACAAGGAGTTAGTAGTTAAAGAATAATTAGAAGTTAGCCTGTGAAGACTTAGTGTGTGATTGAAAGATTTAGTCACTGTGAGACTGTTTTAATTCCTTTACCAGGATATGACTAGTGAAGGCAGAGAATCCTAGTGTGTGTGTAATGGTGAAATGTAATTGTGTGAATCAGCAATAGTGCCATATTGCTTGTAAGTATGAGTTGATTGTATAAGGTATTAATAAATCAAGTCATCCAATCCAGAACCTGATATTATTAGTCACAAAACCCTGGGCACTTGACAGTATTATCTGAATTCAAAATTTGCTGAAAATCATTCAGACTAATAATGGCAATCAGAAAATTTCCTTTTTTTCTTTTTTTCATATGCCTTTTGTTGGTTATTTAGTATCAGATGAAATAGGAATGTGATTATGTAGAATGAATCAGAAAGGATAGTGGAAGCAGTAGATGTGACATTTATTAGTTCAAAATTTGCCTGAAGGACCAAATAGAAGTATACAGACCTGTCAGGTTAGTGTTTTTCTCGCTCAGCGAAAACAGAGTATTTGAACTAGATGAAATAAACAAACTTGGAGACTAGAAATCCTGTTAATATTCTGTTTTTCCAGAATCTTGTGGCAAGAGGAAACTAATTTGTCATTGCATGAAATTTTAATTGTTATAGGCAGTTGATTGGTGGAGCATTGGGGTTCTCACGTATGAACTCCTGACAGGGGCATCTCCTTTTGCTGTTGATGGAGCTACAAATTCTCAGCAAGAAATATGTCGGTGAGTTACCGGTATTTGTAATGAGGTCTGACCTGTATTTGCCATATTTCGTCCCACAATTCTATGTATATGATTTTGTGGCTCCCCCAGGCTTGTTCAATACCTGTGAAATGAGTGCATATATGTATTTTAAAGATGTAAGAACTAACTATAGAAAAGAAACAAAATGCACATAAATACTTCTGCATGATCACAAATGAACAAACAAGAAGCAATTTCTGAGCTGGGCATTAGCTGAAATCCACTGTCCTATTGTTAGGAGAGAAAGGAACACTTCCTGAAGCTGGATAGTAATCTCCACATTAATAGTTGTGATATGATTTGGATTCTCTTTTAGTCTTAGTAATGCAGAATTCTATCAGATATATGTGGTTAGGTAAAATACCTTCATTTGTCCATCATCATATATACTGTAGCAATAAATTTTTTATAGCCAGCATCCTGAAAGAATGGTGCAAAAGGATTTCAAATTTGTCTTTCCATGATCCAGCCTTCTAACATTTTCATGTGTCATTTTTAGCATTCTCTATTCATCTGTTTCATCTTCCTCCTTTTGCATTCTGAACACCTACCCCATCATCGCCATGTGCATCCTATCATTACATACCAGATTCGCCACATATGTTTGTTTACATACAACAGTTCTTCTAGGGTTATATATTTCTTAGATATTAATGCCCATTACTTTTATGAAACTCCTGTCCCACCATCAGATTCTTTCCTCTTTCTGTGATGCTGTCTCACAATTTCAGCATGTGTCCTCTAAGGGAACTCTAATAATGCAGACTGAGTGAACTCTTCCCATTGCCTCTGTGTGTAAGTCCAGGTGCAGAACCCAGACAGCCATGTATGCCAATGTAATGCTCCATTGCATTCTGGACAGCATAGACACGTGGCTGTATGAGTGTAGGTTAGGCTGTGCCATTCTGACATGTGACTGGGAGCTGCAACATAATCGACTGAAATACTCTAGAAGCCATGTAGACTATATAAGATCTAAAAGTTTGTTACAATGGTATTGTAACGTGTTGGGTTACTGAAGACGCCGTAGAGATGGTTAATTGGTTTATTTAACAATCTACAAATAACGGCTACAATTAATTATCTCACAGTTGCGGGGTTTCACACTTTATAACCCTAAGCGCATTAATCTGTTACCACTGTTGCGGGGTTTCACGACTTATAACCCTATGCGCAAATCAGTTCACTCTGTCTTCAGTAGTATACACGTTGACAGTAGGGGAGCTATGTATCACTGTATCACGCGCTCCCAATTACACAATCGCACACACGTCCGGATCTTCTTACCGCGACGGCTGCTATACTCCAACTGTAGTCGGCTGGCTGTTACTTTATAACTCGGAATGTCTTCGGCGGTAGCCACACTGGAACTCGAACTCGAACT